TTTGGGGACCTGGAGTCTAAAGCAACTCTGTCACTGCTCATCAGTCTCCCTTCCTAGAAGCCTTTCCGGAGCACCTGTGAAATGGGGATATTTTCTGTGCTCCCCTCATAGTGTTGTTACAGGACTGAATTAATTGATCATCCTCTAGCAGAGTGCCACACACTGAGAAGACCCGAATGAATGCTAAACTATTATCATTACTTTTATCATGATCCTTATTCTATCGACTCGCCACCCTGTATTACAATGGCCTACTTACTTGGCTGTCTCCCTACCAGACTGTGAGCCCCTGGGAGTTAGCATCGAGTCCTGCTCACTTTCTATCTCCCCCACCAAGCACCGGGCAGGCGTACAGCAAGCCCAAGGAGGAAGTTCTACGGCCTTATAGAAAAGAATACTTTATGGGCACTTGTAAATATAGTTGATATTCATTTCCTTTTGAATAGAAAGTGTTTGACTTAAATGTCAATACTACACGTTCAGTAACAATTAGCTGCATCTGAGATTCCCAAGCAAAAGGTGGAGTCAAGCCCTGTCCATCAAGGAGCCTGTCTCGTCTGGTTGGTCATCTGGCTACTGAGCTTTGTTATGAAGCGCAATCGTTAAAGACATTTGGGACTAGCATGAGGATAGAGGAGCAGTGCGATGACAATAGGAAGCCCACGCAGTCCTGCGGGAATATAAGGATGCAGTATCTGAGCAAGGAGGCACCAAACCTGGGCGAAAGGGTGGTTTGATTATTAAATCAGTGGTGCAGAGACAATTGGCTAACTGCTCAAAAAGACATAAAGTAAGGTGGCTACCTCACATCCCACATCCAATAAAATCCTAACACCTATTAGTAAGTTGCATGTAAATCAACAATGTTCAACAATAGAGAATTGGTTAAATTGTGGCATATTGATACTATGGACTATTTCCAAGTTATTAAAGTCATGTTTTAGACTAATACTGAGTTCTTGTGGTATATTATTAAGTAAAATAGCAGGCTACAAATATAGGCTATGATCACAATTTTATAGACAAATTTCCCACTGTATACAGAAGAGTGCTCACGTGTGCACACACACATTTAGTGTGAGTCCACATGTACAGTGTAGACTTGTACATACACATGGATCATGAAAAAATCTGAAATCAAGCATATCAAAGTAATAGTGATTATCTCATCACTTTTACGTACACATATTTATTGTTTTGTTTTTTTCCAAAAGTTCCACAATGAAGATTCGTTACCTCTATAATATATTAAAAAAAATAAAAATCAGTAAATGCTATTTATAAAATTAATCTATGCTGGCTCTAATATTAAAAGAATTTAAACACTTTGGTGAATGAAAGTGAAAACACACTTGGGGAGCATAGCCCTTCGAGGCTGGGGATCCAGCCACCTGAGTGGCTCTTTCTCCTAAGGCCTCACCACAAAATGACCAGGCCGGACTGTGAACTTCCAGAACCTGAGAGCTTATGCAGGCTGTGCTTCTCTGCAGAGGAAACCTGCTGGCCCAGCACTGGGAACCATTCCTGTGTTCCACATGATAGTACACAGGTGGCCCAGCGGATTTTCTTTTTATTTCCAAGGGGGGAGACATAAGTTGATTGTGAGCATTTTATTAATTAAAATTTGCCTCCTATAAAAGTTTCTTAAACAGTTGATGCCTAGAGTTACTCTGATTAGAATCCAACATGAGACTGTATCAGATTTAGTCCTGATCAGATTTAAATCAGACAGTTATCAGATTTAACTATCTTAAGCTTAATGCATCGCCGTTTCAGCAAGCATGGGTTCTCCAAGGGATGAGAGCTATGACAGTCTGGGTCTCTGTTTTTCACAAATTCTCCAGGTGATTCTGAAACATGCCAGCTCGGGGCCCACTGGTGTTCCCTGTTCTAAAGTAGTGGGTCTCAAACTTTGCCGTAATTACAATCACTTGTGCAGATTTTAAATGTCCCAGTGGCAAGACTGCACCCCAGACCACTAAACTCAGAATCTGTAGCTTTAAAAGCTCCCCAGGTGATTCCAATGCACAGTCAGGTCTGAGAACCAAATGTTATAATGAATGAAACCTGACGTGCAGGTGCTGCAGCTCCTGAGACTGAGAAACAACTTTGGTGAAATCTGAGTGTGAAGATTTTGTGTTCTCTGTCTCCATCTGCTGGCCATGCCTGCATTGCTCTAATTTACCTACACAACTGGGATATCCCAAAGGGCTTCTTGAACTTTTCACAATATTTGCTAAAAGAATCAAAGAGAACCAAAAAGAGATGAAATTTTTAAGTAATACAGATAGCTATAAAATATACTCTTGCATTTAATAGGGTAGTCTAAGAGTTATAAACACCTTAGGATAATGCTACTAGAATCTTTTCTGTGCTTGGTAAATTAAAAAGCAGCCGGTGCGTGTTAGTTATTACCATCATAGTCGGGCATAAGATAGACCCCATCTTTTGAGTCCCAGTGAGTCATTCTGAATAATTTAGAATAGGCTTTTGGGGGAGTATACTGTCCCATGAGTTTTGTCGTGAACCACAATGTGACCGGCAACGCTTTCCCCAAAAGGTCTCCCCTTCCTTCTCCTGCACCTAATGTGTCACATAACTTTAAGCCCAAGATTCCAAGACTTAACTGCCCTAGAGAGAGGAAAGAAGTTATTTCTATTTATGCCCACGTCTGGCTGCCTGGCTACTCCCTACCTCATGCCCATTTCCTCCCACCTCATCTCCCTAGTCTTGCTCACATATTCCTGGGAGTCCGCATGTGCTCACAAACAACTATCTCATGTCCTTCTCACATGGCCTCTGGGGTGTGGTCTGCTCTCTGCAAAGCCTCTTGAGCCCATCACTGCCCTGTTGTCAGTGTGCTCATGGCCATGCTGCCCTCTGCAGCAGGGCCCTCTCTCCAGGTGACCCCAAAGCTGGGAGTCCATCCAAGTGCCAAGACGGTGCCATGTTTCCATTAGTCTTCACCTGCTCGCACGTGGTCACAGTATGTTCTGGACAGCAAGGAGAGAATGCCTCTATCTTCACAGGCCTCAGAAGACCTGTGAGATACTGGCTAAAGGCAGGTAGAAAGCCAGTTCCTCCACCTCTGTCTCAGACATGGGCAGACTTACTGGTAAGTTGTCCCCACCGGATTCATGTAACTAACTCACAGGAGAGCACTGACTGAACCTGCTGGACCAGTCAGGTGGCTCTGCCAGGTGTCCTTGAGCCTTGAGAGAGTGAACAGCAGCCTGGGACAGACTTACCCTGAGGGAAAGACAGAGACTGGAGTAGAAGAGTTCAGCTCAGTAACAAGGCTGTGGGTTGCCAGAGGAGATGGGGATCCACCTGACTAGGGGACTATAACCTGGATTTGTCCCCAGTCCCTATAGTCTATGTTTGAGCCAGTGGGGCCGTGGAGCTGCGAGGAAAATAAACAACATGAAACACTGAGCCTCTGGTTTCTTTTTTCACACTTCCGGCCCCCTGAGATTAACGGGCAGCTATTACCTGTGGTACCTCCGGCCTTGGGGAGTCTCTAGCTCCACACTTAGAGAAGAGGGCCACGAAGAGACATCCGATCTACGTTGTTGTTTGAAGCTTTGGTTCTGTGAGGGTGAATCAGGGGCTAGAGAGGGTGACCTGCCTCACACCTGCCGAGCTGGGCCAGTGTGTGCACCTGGAGCTTAAGCTCTCGGACATCTGGCCCAGGGTACCACACGCCTGTACTGTGCCGCTTTCTCCAACGAGCTCTTCGCACCAACAGCAACCGCCCTCTCCACTCAGCAGACAAGACCGCTGAAGATTAAAGGCTGCCACGTGAGCAAATAAAAGAAAGCGGGGTGGTATGCGCACCTTACCCATGCCCAGAACTTCATGGGCATCACGTCAATGCCAACCCAATAATTTCATCATATTGAGCATCTCTAATTCACAGATGAGAAAGTGGACACAAATTGTTTATATTTATTGATATAAACCTATTCTGACTCCTCACTCATGTTCTTTCCTTTACACCACCTGCCCTGCCTTTTTCTCGAATGCCCTTCCCCACCAGGGTTCAGGTGTACCTCCCATATTGCAGGGGGCAGGGTAAGGAGGAGCTGGTTTGTTTTAAAGGGAAGATGGCCAAGAGTTTCCTGGCCTTAAAAAAAAAAAATTCTAGTTTGAAGGCTGATAAAGTGTCAGTAGAATGAATGAATGAATAAATGACCAGATGAATGAATGTCATACGTGAACACATATGACAATTTAAACATAACCACAATTTAAAAAGAGCAAATTTTATAAGTTTCAGAGAGAAAGATAAGACTGCTTATAAAGGAATCAGGTTAATTTCAGAATTCTCAGCAGAATTTCTAACCAGCAAGATTATGAATAAACAGTCTCAAAGTGTTAAAGAAAATATTTAAACCTAGAATGCTATATCCAGGTAAACTATAATTTAAATGTGAGGACAAAATAAAGATATCTTCAGGCATCCAAAGTCAAAAAGTCCTTTTCAAAAACACTCTTGGGGCCTGGCAGGTGTGGTTCAGTGGTTGAGCACTGACCCATGTACCAAGAAGTCACTGTTTGTCACCTAACTGTACCCTAACTTCTAATCACTCCAGGTGCTTCCCACCCCATGCTACTCAAAACCCCACACCCCAGGGGCCAGGGTTACTCTCCTAGAGCTAAGCATCCGTCCTGCTAGATGTCAGTGTGTTGCCCTGGAATAGGGTATCCCCACACTTGCTTCTGCTCCTGCTCCTCCTGAGTCTTTCCCTTATAAAGGCTGCTCCAATAGGTCGGCTACATGCTAGGAGGTCATTTTTATTCACAGGATGGTTGAGAAAATATTACCATGCACTTTGCCCTTTGAGAGACATGGACATGGAAAGGGGAAAGGGACTAGCTGAGGGGACTCTATCATGAGTGCCTTGCATTCATGGGCTCAGTGCAGGGCACACATAGGGTCCTGCTCATCCACAGAGGGTCCACTAGAATGCCTAATGGAAAGAATGACACAGCCTGAATAATGCTACAGATAAAGTTTATTTTAGACACAAGCTCTTTAGAAGAGGTCACTCCACCACTTTAGATCTTCATCTTCTAGGGCTGCAAGTCCAGGGATAGAGAATGGCCAGGAGTGTATTGTGGAGAAGTCTTGTTAGCCAAGCACTGTATTTGTGGATTCATGAGAAATCTTCTGGGGCTGGTCTCCGGGCATGCTTAATAAACACCCTGTCCATCTTCCACATGGCCACCAGAGCCACCCTTCTAAAATACAAATTTGATCATGACATTTTCTCTGCTCAGAAACCTCCAGCAGTCTACCCAACTTTTTGGCAGGCAGCTCATTCCTCTTTGGACCCCGGCTTGGATGGCACTGTACTGAGATGCTGAGACGTTGTGCCCCTGAGATGCTGCAGCTTCTACCTACCACAGTCACTTTCCCATCTCCAGCTGAGGACCCACATTCTCCCATCATCTGAACTGCCCTTTCTTCCTCTGGCAAACTTTATGCCTCCTTTAAGCTCTCTCTTAAATGCTCTCTACTCTCTGACAACCTTCTCAACACCCACCGATCCACCCACCCACCCAGACAAAGCCAATAACTCTTCCCTTTGCTCCCACAGACCTTAGTAGAAACCAGTACAAAGCAATGATCATCCTGGGTTGTAATTATTTACATAGTTCTGTCTCCCTGACCTGATTGTGTTTACCTTTTTATCTAACTTCAGTACAATGCCTGACTAACACAGGAGATAATAACTGGGGTTCCCTTTCCTTTCCCTCCTCCTCTCACAACCACCCATTTTCCAGAAAGAGTTAAGCCCCCTTGGTGGGGGAGGGAATGGAGGGTGAAAAACCCTGGGTTAATAATGACCTGTGAAGCTAGAATCATGGTTACTTGTCTCAACTGAGAGCCCCCCAGGGATAGGGATAGGTCTTCTCTTCAAGGAGAGGGTCTTGGATAATGCAGCCGGGTGTCCTTCTGCCATTCATTTCCAGCCCCTTCCTCTTGGAGTTATCCAGACTCCTGCATGCAGGAGCACCCATGGACACGTGAGCACCCATCTGCCCCAGGAAAGCCCACTAGGGAGTTATTGCACCCTTGGATAGCTCTTGACCGATTTATACTCACCACACGGAGAGCAGTTTTGCAGACATGACCACATCCATTGCTGCAGCATTTCATTCCCTTGGGACATGATCCATCTCCTGAGCAACTTTCAATACAAATCCCAAAAGTTCCTTTGGGCACCTCAGGGCAGAATCCAGGTCTTTGATCTGAAACATACAACGGTTTTTGTGGAGTCTGGAATGGTCACTAAGCAGGAGTGAGAATTGGTGTTAGAGGTCAGATGGCCTCAGTGCTGGCAGGACCCCCACCTCTTCCATTTCTTACTTCATGCTCCTGGACCCCTCCCCTCAGCAGCTCCACTTTCACTCTATAGCCCCCCATTTTCACAGTCAGTCCCTGCTCTAAAGGCTGTACAGTCCCAGCAGGCAAGAGAGCTGCACTGTTACAACCCTCTTCTTTCCACCTTATAAGAAGATATTAGAAAATCTCTGATCACAGACAGCCATCTCTCCACCTCACACATACCCTATGTCCATCCCAGAGCTAATCCCTGTTGGAGTCCCGCATCCAAAGTACATCTAGAGAAAACCTCAACTTCTAATCAGACCCATCCTGATCTGATAAGAAGAATGGGAAATGCAGGGTGATCACTCCTGAAGGTCAAAGAATGTGGATCTGATCAATGCCAAATCTCCCTTCTGCAGTGGACACACTGCCTGCTTCTGTGACAAACCATCCCCAGGTCTAAAGCTGGGCTCTGAGCCTTCTCTGCTGTCAGTAGGACCCCTCCCCCCTCAGCACCCTCACCTTTAATAGGTATCCGAGCGTAGGCCATCTCCATCCCCACGGCGATGAAAGCCACTAGAACAAAGACTGTGCCTGTCTTCATGTTGGCCTTTGATGAGAATGCACACACAGAGCCCAGCCCCAATTTATACCCTCAGGGTCACCAGCAAGGAGTATGGGGCAGGGCTGTAGAGTAGGAAGAGTATGACATGACCTAGATCTTTTGTTCTAGTTCATAACTGGTTTCTCTCTAATTAGGGCATGTTCTCTTGGATATGCAATGCCAAACAGGAGAGTTCCGGGAACACTTTTTAGCCCCTTGTGCATTGCTACATCACAATTTGGCAATGGCTTTTCTGGTGTCATTAGGAACAGTGGCCAAAGAAAAGAATTCTCCCTGTATAATTTAGAATTTCAGAATAAGAGTGTAAACTACGAAGCTAGGTGTTGCTCCATCTGGTGCTCCCTGGAGGTCCAGTTCCAGGAAGATTAGATGTGCTTCTGGGAGAGGTGGTGAATGTGTGGTGCTTTGGAGCCAGCCCAAAGCTGAGATTCTTAAGTAGAGGTGGAATGAGGGCCACCCCTTAATCACAAAGATAGTCATAGGTAGGTAATGTCACTCATCTAAGGAGATGGATGTTCAAAGATCACAAGCTGGCTGGGCCTTGGAGGTTGAGAGACAGGGCCCAGTCTTTTTTTTTAAAAAAATTTTTTAAAAAATATATCTTTATTGATTTCAGAGAGAGGAAAGGAGAGGGAGAGACAGAGATAGAAACATCAATGATGAGTCATTGATCAAGCCCGCAACCCGGGCATGTGCCCCGACCAGGAATCAAACCCCAATCGCCTGGATCGTAGGTCGACACTCAACCACTGATCCACGCCCAGCCGGGCAGGGCCCACTCTTGATGGTTGGTGGTCTCTGAGCCTACCCTGCTCCAAACTGAGAGGTTCCTAGAGAAAGGGCTACAATGAGCTGAATTATAGGAAAAGCATACTAAATGTTGTACAGGGGCCTGAGTAAGAAGCCTGCCCTCTTTTTTATCCCAGTTACAGAAGCTCAGAGAAGGGAGTGTAGAGGTAAAATTCCCAAGGACCACGGGAAGGAAGAGAAAGCCTGCTTTGTTCTTGATGGTCAGATCTCAGACAAGCACCTCATGAGCACCTATTGGGAGGCCTGGATAAGTTACTCTAAGAGCAGAGAAACACTAAGCAAGCCTAGAGAGGAGGGCTCAGACTGGTCACCCCAGGTAGTTAGCTTACACCCAGCATCTCAGAATCTTTGGAGGCTCAAAGGGTACAAGCACCCAGGACCCCTCGTCTGAAGGAGGGACCAAAGTACCTGAAGAGGCCATGGCAGCTCAGTGCAGGGTGTAGATCAATGGCCAAAAAGCAGCAAAGAGCATGACAAAGAGCAAGCCCAAATCCAAATCCAAGGCGGCTGCCAGACTGCTGAGCAGCATGGTCTTGGTAAGTGAATGGGGCCAAAGTGGACAGCCCCGAAGAACTTGCAGGAGAATTCTCCAGAGCCCCGCCAGCAAGGGGAGGACTCCCTAATCCCTCTCTAAAGTGACTTAGACATGACTACTATCACTTAGTTAACATAATCTTTAAAAGTTCTTCTTAAAAAAATTTTCACGTTTGCTGTGTATTTCCCTAAGCCCTTTTCTATGCTTTTACATACACACATGTTTATTTACAAATATGTCTCTTTTCTGCAGAAATGAAATTATATTGTATGTATTGTGTTGCTCTACTCACTTAACATTATGTCTTGGAGAGATTTCCATGTTAGTATCTTTTCCCCCTTTTTTAAACTACCCACTATCTAATATTTCATTATATAAGTGGTTCATAATTTATTTGACCAAATTTCAACTGTTGAACATTTAGGTGGATTCTGTATCACAAACAATTTGCTGTTATATGCACCATATACTTTGTATATGCTTCTTTGTTTATATATGTCAGTATTTTTCCCAGAATAGATGCCTACACATGGAAATGCAAATGATGTGTTTACTATAGAGTTGGAAGATATTGCTAAATTGTTCTCCAAAAAGACTAACCTATTTACACCTCCTCCCACAGGGAAGGAGACATGGATTTCTCACACACTGACCCGAAGCATTTGTAATCTTGCTTCCCCAAATTAAATTTTAATGGACTATTTCAAGCTGTATATTCCCACACTCCCCTTGGGATGTACTCCAGTTGGGAATGTGGGGCAAAGAACTCTCATCACAGTTATGAAAAGAAATTTAATTAGAGGAAATCACATATGACAGCATAACCTGGTGTTTGCTACTCTAGCACTTGGAGTTTCCAGTTTGAAGCAAAGGTAATTATGGCCTATGGTAGTTTTGCTGAGGGATGCATTTCAATAACAGTAGCTGTAAGGCTGCTAGACAGGGCCTCCCTTCAATTATAACAATCTTTGACCTTTATTAAGCAAGCAATTGTACAACAGGATCTGTGCCTGTACTTCACAACTGTCATCTCACTGAAGCCTCACAAGCCTTGGGGTTGCTTCCATTGGTACCCCCATGTCACAGGTGAAGGGGCTGAGACTCGAAGGAAGTCCATGCTTTGCAAACACTTCAACCCCATCTCAGACCCAACGATGATGAATGTCCAATGGTGGAGTTCAGAAAAGCTCCCAAGATGCTCTCATGCACATGAAAATGAGGAACACTTCACCTACCTGATAAAACCTTTATTTCTTTGTGAAAAACTAAACAAAATGTCTCCATCAATAGTTGATTTCTAGTGCTCTAGTGACAATCACAAATTTAGGGATTTGGCAAGTTCTTATGACAGATTATCACTTCATAGTTTCCAGGTGTCTGCAGCAATCATCAGACATATAAAAAATTAAGGGAAGAACAGTACAGGGGATTCTAAAAAAATTAAATATAGAATTACCATAAAACCCAGCAATTCCACTTCTGGGTATGTACCCAAAAGAATTGAAAGCAGGATCTCGAAGAGCTATTTGTATACTCATGTTTATAGCAGCATTAGTCACAAGCGAAACATGGAAACAACCCAAGTGCCCATTGACTGATCAGTACATAAGCAAAATGTAGTATATACATATAAGGAAATATTTAACCGTAAAAGGAAAGGAAATTCTCCAATATGCCACAACATGGGTGAACCTTACGGACATCATGCTAAGTGAAATAAGCCAGTCACAAAAAGACAAATGCTGTATGGTTCCACTTACATGAAATACTTAGTCAAATCATAGAGACAGAAAGTATAAAGGTGGTTGCCGGAGCTGGCAGGGAGGAGAGAATGGGATTTAATAGTTATAGAGTTTCAGATTTACAAGATGAAGAGAGTCATAAGGATGGGTGCTGGTGATGGCTGCACAACAATGCGAATGTGTTTAATACCACTGAACTGTACACGTAAAAATGGTTTTGATGGTAAATTTTGTTATGTGTATTTTAATACTAAAAAAGAAAAACATTCAGGAAGAAGACTGAGTCTAGATGTTGGGAATCCCTACAAGCCCTTGGCCTGCAACACCTACCCTTCACACATGTAGCCATCGAGGTCTTATTTCTTTTATTTTCAGGCTAGCATGTGAGGGTGCAGCAGCTTTGTGTTTGGACTCCTAAATTTGCTAACATTCCATTTTTCCTGGAATTTCATATTCCAAAGAGTCATTTCCTATCTCTGCCATATCCTTCAAACACCTAACCACATGCTCAGCTCACCAGTCCCAGATCTAGTTCAGGTTGCATTGTTCCCCTGCTTCCTGAAAAGCTGAGGATAAACACCAAGGCATTTTGTTGTAGAGCATGAGACTTATGTCAGAGACAATGAAACTAAAAACCAGATGGCGCAGATCTGGCCAAGGAAGTCTCATCAACACAGGTGGGCCTGTTTGCCTTTCTATGTTACTGTACATATGTAACAGATAATATTTTGAAAAAATTTACAAGGTGTCTTTTCTCACTCCCCTAATTTCTTATACTTACTCCCATACCCTGCAAGCAACCAACTATAACCTAGACTCACTGCCCTCAGGGGAGGGTGGACATGGCTTAGAGAAACAAATCAGTTGAGTTCATCAGTGGATTTTCTTAAAACTCTGATAACAATTGTTCTGAAAGCACAGGCTTTCCATTTTAAGACCTGGGTATCTTGAGAGAAAAGGATTTCAGTTGGGGAACAGAAGGTGACTATAAGGCCAAGCCCCCCAAAAAACTGGGGATAGGGTTGCTACCATAAATGATATATGTATTTTTTAAATTCATGATGATTTTAAGAGCTAGTTTTCCACATATTGAAGACAAAATAAGATAGGCATGGGTAGGAGAATAAAGTGAAAGATGTAAGTCAAACAGACATTTGAGAATGATCCTAATCGGGCCCCAACCTGCCCAGGAAGAGGGCGGACTGTAGATGTAGGGATCAGGAGGGAGATGTGGCCCAAGAAGACTGTCAGCCTTTCCAAGAAGCCTCAGGCCTGGTGGGCACAGAGGAGCCTAGAATGAGACAAAAGAAATACTGTCATCAACCTAACCCAGGAGGCCATGGGAGGACAAGTGACAAACCAGAGAGGTGATGTCCAGTGACCAGAGGGCTGAGATGCATCTCAGGTCAAGATTCCTTCAACAAGGAGCAAGAGTCCTGCGCTCTCCACAGCCTAACCACACAGCAGCCCCCCAGAATGCAGATGGACTCTGGGAAGAATGGGCGAAGGAAAAGAAAGATGGCAGGTGGAACGTTCTCAACCCGGAAAAAACACCAGGCAGCAATTATGTTTACTCTGTGGCCACGCTAAATGATCTCTCACCAAAAAAAATGGGGACAGGAGAGTTGGGTTCAATTATGGAAAAAAAAAAAAAATTCCATTTTTGCACTTCAAAGTCTGTGACTTCGAAATTCATAAGCATCACAGGAAAGAGGTAGTCTTATAAAACTCATCAATGATATTTCCAGCAATCCCTTGTGTAGGGAATTGATTAAAGGGGGGAGAAGGTAGCATTTTCAATGCTTCAGAACTTAATTATGTCAGAATTATATTTGTCCCAGAGCACAATTGGCAAGAACTTTGTAAATCTAGACACATAAAAGGAGAGGTTCAAAGCACCCTTAGGATAAAGGCTAGAAATGTAAGGCCCTGATGGTTTGGACATTCCTTGTTATTGCTTTCATTGTTCCATTTCCTGACACCTTTAAAAGGTTGTTGAATCTCTCAGTGAACTCATTAAAGAATGGTATCAGCCTTCATTGCTTCCAGAGAAGAGAACTGAATACTTGGGTATAGATTAATTTTTTTTCTTGCATGTCCTTTAAAATTTTGCACAATGTCTACTGTTACTTATTCAAAAATTATTTATTTCAAGACCACCGAGTGCATGATATCAAACTATTGGGGGAGGGGGAAGTCCCCTGAACATCCTGTCAGTATCAAGTCTGTCTTTCCCTAAAGAAAAAAAATTCCTTACTTTCTCTTTTCTTCTAAATGTATATATTTAAAACAATTATCAAATATTTTAACATGAAACTACTGTCAATGTAAGAAATGCCTGCACCTATAGAGAATTTTTATGAATTTATTTGAGCCAAACTGATAACAATTGCCAGGAAGCAGAATCTCAAGGGATTGAGAAAATGCTCCCCACAATGGCAGTTTTGCAGCTTATTTATACATTAGAATAAAAGACGACGTAGGGAGGGTTACCTGAACTTCATTGGT